TATCTATTACCATAGAGAAGAACACTTAATAATACAGCTACTGTAAACTTTTGTCTGTCATTAAATATATATATTTATTTAGATTAATTGTGAAACTGATTTTGTGGCTAAAAATGAAAAATTTCAACAACTTGTTTCTCATGTTGCAAATAGTTTAATCGCTAATCAAAAGGATAAATCGAAAGAAAAGGTTTTTATTTTATTTGATGATCTTTGTTTTTTTTTTCATTTATTCTAGTAATTTACATTTCTTTATAAAGGTATTCTATGATAAAGATGCTCTATCAACTTTACCTTCTCTTGATGATCGTTCAAAAACATTAGCTGATATAACAGCTTTATGTGTTGGATCAGTTGGAGAAAATGTTGTTTTACGACGTGGTATTGTATTTAATATTAATAATAATCAATTATTAGCTAGTTATTGTCATGGACAAATTAATAATGCAAGTACAGATTCATGTCGTATGGGAAAATATGGTGCACTTGTTAATTATTCTCAAATTGATTCAACTATAACAAATGATTCAAATGTAATAAAATCATTAAATAGAAAAATATTTTTAAATTCTCTGTTTTAGGATGAAAATGCTTCAACATTATCTTCAGCTCTATTGACTCGTTCTTATCCATTACGAACAATATGTCAAAATAATATTCAAAATCCAATTGAATTAAGTACTTATCTTGATCAAGAAGATGAAACAAGTCAACTTCATGAATATCTTAATGGATATATTTATGCATTACCATCACGTGAAAGTACACATGATTTATTTGTAAAGCATCTAAGTGCACAAATTGAACAACAACAAATAAAAAATATTCATATTCTTCCAATGGATATTCGTATACAAACACCTGATCCTATTTATATTTATTATCCAAGTTTATGTCTCAGTACTCAAGCACCTAAAACTGATCAAGCAATAACACGTGAACCCGTTGTTATAATTGAACTTATTACACCAACAACTGAACGTTTTATATTACATGAAAAATCAATTAATTATAAAAGAATACCATCATTAAAAGAGATTATTTATATTTGGCCAAATTTAAAACTAGCTCAAGTCGATTTTCGTGATGGTGAATCATCAAAATGGACAAGAAAATATTATGGTTTACAAGATAAAATTCCATTAGTACAAGCAATTGGTAATGGTGAATTAGTACTTACTGATATATTCAATAATATGGTAAGTCAAATATTAAGTTTTGTATTTCAATATATGAACCATTTTGATAAGACAAAATGATTTTGTACTATCAAAACAATTATTGTTTTATGTTATCACCATGAAAGGAAAAAAAGTAATCATCGTTTTCTTCCCTTATGAAATATTATTCACCATCATACATGATCATGAAATTCTAAACTTTCTAATCACATAACCTTTAAAATCTAATAACGTCATATATTTGAGTACAAATATTCTGTAGACAAGACAAAAGTTTTTCAAACATGTTCTCAAAGTCATACATAAATATGATTATTGACTACGCAATTTGATCAATTTTTGATAAATAAAATAAATATTAATTAGTTTTGATCTTTTATTGAGAAATAAAAATCATTATTTCTTGTATAATCAAAAAAAAGTTGTACAGTGAAAAAAAAATCTCTATCTAACGTGAATTAAACTCATTTATTTTCCAGTCAAATTACCAAAATAAAAAAGAAAAAGACAAGAAAATAAATAAATTATTCGTTCATTCATTCATTTTTTGTTAATTGCCCACCTTTTGAATAAAATGTAACGTGTACTTCACTAGCTCGACCTGTTCGTTCATCAAATATATTACAATGATTATATGGTGGTACATAAAGATGTAATGTAACAGCTGTATCCGTATGACTTGGATTTTCAACACGATGTAAACCAATTGAATCATTTATATAAGCAACTTTTCCGTCTTTTAATTCTGTTTGACAGATAGCGTGCAATGGTTCTTCTTTATTTTCACTGCCATCATTTGGCCATGCATATTTTGTTTCAATTAAAGTTCCTTGTAAACATTTCATAAAACAATGTGAATTCGTATGATCATGTATTGATGAACCCTGACTTTCAGCCCAACATAAAATCATTAAATTAAATTTTCCATTACCAGCATCAACTAAATTTCTTGTATATTTATTTGGTTGAAATTTAATATATGGTGCCCATTCTTTCATATTACCTTTATAATTGCTCATTATCGTATAAACATAATCAGTATCAACATCATTTGTGGCAAATGCTTGATAAATTAAATCGATTAATTCATTTAAGGAATTTGGTTGTGTTGATAAGTGTGCTGTTTTGTCCACATATTTCATACGAATTGATTGAATATCATTGGTATTAGTATTAACAAGTGTTTCCGTCATATTCGTTTGTTATGATCGAGTACCAATTGAATATTCTATTTACTTAAGATGAAACATATATATATATAGGGATTTTTTTTTTTGTTTTTGACGGATTAATTTTGTCTTTTTTCCTTTGTTTACATCAGAACTACATAACCTTACACCAATATATTCTTTTTTTTCTTATGTTATCAAAATAAAAAATAATCTAATCTATAATCGAATGTGAAATTTGATCAATAATCTATTGACGAACCATAACTGGAGAAAAAGTTCAAGGGTTCTTTGTTTTTTTTATTCTTTTATAGACAAAACAATTTGGACGTTTACTTGCTCAACATATTGTAGCAACTCGTTCAAAAACAATTGGTTTAAATGAAAAGAAACAAATAGGAAACGATGAAGATCGTTTATTATATCAAAAATGGATGCATACCGATGATAAGAAAAAAACCGTTGAAATATTTCTTATTGAAAATCAATTAAATGTTAATGATTTTGCACGATTTGAATGTGGAGAAGAAATTTAATTTGGTAATAAATCATCAGGATTCGTTAAAGTCTTTTTTTTTGTAGTGTCATCTTTATCTGTTTTTTTTTCTTTGTGTTAAACACCATTGTTTAGGTAAAAATTCATCATTTTATGTTTGTTTTTCTGAAATAAACATCAAGTTTTCTACAAAACAACCGATGTTTTTTTGCTTACAATCAATATTTTATATGTATTTCAAGTTATAATGTTTGTTTCATATATTATATAGACCTGCATGAATTAAATAATTTATTTACTCTCTGTTGAATTTGATTTATTCTAATTTTAGACAACAATCATTTTTATTTCAGATGGCTTCTGTTGCCTCTAATCCAAAGGATTTTGAAGAAGATGTTAAAAAAGCACGTGAATATTATATGTGTAAGACACCTTTTATTGAAATATTTTCAAATTGAACATATATAAACATACTTTTAGACGGAGATTATAGTAAAGGTGTAACATTTTATAAATTAGCTATTGATAAACTTCGACGCTATTGTCAAACATTATTCGACAATACTGAGAAAAAACGTGGCAGTGAAGTTTGTTTGATTAATTCGCATTGTATTTGTTCATTGTTTTTTTTCTTTCATTTTACGATATAGTGTCTAGCAGAACTTGAGCGAGAACTTCAATCAACAATAGAACATGAACGAATGATTAATGAAATTCACGAGAATTTATTAGGAAAATATATTGGTGGTGGACGACCTGTTAGTAGTGATGTTTATAATGATTTAAATGATGTAGATAATCTTTATAACGCAGTTATTGATGAACGTCCAACGCGTGATTTAGGTTTTAATAATAATCGAAATCCTCCATATGGTGCCACTCCGTAAGAATTATTAAGATAGATGAATAGAAATTTTTTTCTAGAATAAATTCTTTATTGTAGATTTCAAATGCCAGCTGCACGTTTTCAAGAACCTCGTCGTGATGTACGATCAGCAAATAATAATATAAAAGCTAGAAAAGTTACATCAAATGTTCCTGATAATAAACAAAAACAACATGATAATAAACGTGTTAATAATCAACCAAATAGTGGAGTTAGTTGAAATCTTACTTTTGATTTAAAGAAAACAAAAATATGTTTTTGTATTATATTTTCAGGAGAAAAAATATCAACCAACGAATGCAGAAAAAGATTTAGTTGAAGGATTAGAACGTGATATTGTTCAAAAAGATCCAAATGTTCGATGGTAAAATAAATATTTCGTTGTCTTTCATTAATATTATCGAAGTTTTATCTCAGGTCGGATGTTGCAGGTTGTGTTGCAGCAAAAAAATTATTACAAGAAGCTGTTGTCTTACCACTTTATATGCCAGATTTTTTTCGAGGCATTCGTCGACCATGGAAGGTATTATTTATCATATATATATATGTCGTATTACACTTGTGCTGGTCAACGAAGTTACTTCAATTGAACGAAATATCAAATAAATATCAGTTAATTGATAATATTAAAATAAAATGAATAAAATTATAGTTAAGTTTTCATTGTAAAGGGTGTGGATGTGGGCGTGGCTTAGGAGGAAAAATTCACAATGACATTCACACTCACATTTACAGCCACACCCACACCCACACCCACATCCACACCCACATCCACATCCACATCCACATCCACATCCACACTCTATTATTTTAAACATTGTTGTTAATCTAATTAATTAATGGATATTTATTTAACATTGAATTCAATTGAAGTAACTTCGTCAATCGGTGTAATTTCAATACGACATTTATAATTATATATTTCAATTAGGGTATACTTCTATTTGGTCCACCGGGTACAGGAAAAACCATGTTAGCTAAAGCAGTAGCAACAGAATGTAAAACAACATTTTTTAATGTTGCTGCTGCAAATTTAACATCAAAATATCATGGTGAAGGTGAAAAATTAGTTCGTTTACTTTTTGAATTAGCTAAATTTTATGCACCATCAACGGTATTTATTGATGAAATTGATTCATTATGTTCATCACGTGGTCAAACAAATGAACATGAAGCTAGCCGACGTGCTAAATCCGAATTACTTATTCAAATGGATGGAGTATCAGGTGCACTTGGTAAGATTATTTCTTTTATGTTTCTTCATTCAACGTATGGTCTTATGACTGATAAGGGTATCTCTTCAGTAGTTAGATCACTTTTCGACTGAGACGATGTTTAATTGATGAGTGCTTGTAACTAATAGAAAAGTCTACAATAGCTCAAGTATATAGAAAAACTTTAGCTTTTAAACATGAAAGAATTTTGAATATTGAATACCGTTTCCAATGAACTAATCTCATTGAGAACTCTATTCGTACAAAATTTGATATCTAAAGATCGAAGGCCCAAAAAGTCAAGCCGTTCTAGACATTTCTATTATTCACCAGTAATCATCAAATAAACAGTGTCTCGGCAGAAAAAGGATTCAACATTTGGGTACTAGGTGCAAGCCTCAATACCATCAGGCATGGAATGATCTTGGACAAATCATTAATGCCAATTTATCTCGAATTACCTGTCATATAGTATGCTGATTACGTTGTGACATGCATTTACTCTTGTGGTTAATTAGTATGTCTGGGAAGTTCAAGTAATTGAGTGCAACAAATTTTTATTAGGGTGACCATCTGTTCAGAGCTACAACTAGTCATAGTTTTAGAGATGATATCGAGCTATCGAATCTGCCACTAAGCAGCATCTCATAATGCAAAATAATTGAAAGGCAGAAGTATTCTGCTTCATTCTATGTTTTATTTTATTTTTCATTAGGAAGTGATGATCCATCAAAAATGGTTATGGTACTTGGTGCAACAAATCATCCATGGGACCTTGATGATGCTATGCGTAGACGATTAGAAAAACGTATTTATATTCCATTACCAGATCTTGATACACGAAAGCAATTACTTGAAATAAATTTAAAAGAAGTTCCACTTGATACAGGTGTTGATTTAAATTTAATAGCTGAAAAACTTGAAGGATATTCTGGATCAGATATAACAAGTGTTTGTCGGTTAGTATAATGCATTATATTAATTTATATATTTATCATTTTAAAAAAAAATCTAGAGATGCAGCAATGATGCAAATGCGTCGTGTAACTGAAAATTTAAGTATGACTGAAATACAAAATATAGCTCAAAATTTAAAAGAACAATTACAATTACCAACAAAAATGGAAGATTTTACAAATGCTATTTCGAAAATTTCATCATCTGTTTCAAAAGAAATGCTTGAAAAATATGATAAATGGATGAAAGATTTTGGTTCGGTTTAATTTTTTTGCTATTCTTTATATTTTTTTTGCGTCTAGTTTGCACTCTCTATTTATATTGTATTTACTAATATCATTAAAATACCTTTCTTTTCGACCAATGTCAGTTATTATATATTATTACTATTTCCTCTCTCTTTTTTGACATCTATGGCAGTGCTGATAAGAATTTGTATGTTATGAAATAAATAAATAAATAACTATATGTATGTATGTACAAAAAAAGCACTATATTAAAACAAAAGCATTTCGGCTTTTAAAAACCACAAAAAAACACGACGTAATTATGTTTTTATTAATATTTTTTGTTGCAATAGTGATTGGTAAAATAATGTTTATACATGGTTGATACTCGTTGAAGGACTGCTATTTGTCTGTATGATTGGTTTGCCACGCTTCAATAGTATTTCACTTGTTACGCCTATATGCATTCGTTTACGAGGTATAAATAATACAGGCGTACAGATATATAAAACAAGTGTTGATATTTACATCCATCTATCATCAATCGAGTGTGTTTTTTTTGGTTTCTTCGCTCGGTTGGTTTTCTTTCTATTTAATACGTATACAATTTCTTGATTTACGCAGACCTAAATATTTTTCCAACTAAGCTTCAGGAATGTCTATGCAGCACATAGACCAGTTGCTGTTGTTAATATACCCTAGTGATATATATATTATATATATATATGTAAAGAAACGCACGACCCCATTTTGTGCCTCTTTTAACCGCATCCAAGGTCGTTTTTTTTCCTTCTTTCCGCTACGAATAGAGATAGCATGCATGATAATTATATAGATACGAAAGAAAAAAGAGCAAAATAGTGGCTAAAATAATACAGCTGGAGATTTCTTTTGTTGATTATCTAACTGTGGCATTACTTATTGTTTGTTCGATTCTTATCTCATATTCCTTCTCATAACTCGTTAGAACTAGCGAACATACGACATATCTTTCGAATATTGGCCGTCAACTGAAACCAAACAACACATTCGGTGGTTTATTAAAGGTATCAGATCGACTTTTACTAATAACAGCTACGTCCTCAGTTGATTGACACAAAGGCTGATTCAATTATTATTATACACACATACACGCACATATATATACGTATATATACATAAATATTCTTGCAATTTTTTCTTGCATATATCTCGTCCTTAGTTAAACCTGTATACAGCTAAAGGACGAGAAATTATTGTACGAAGAAAAAAGAAAAAAAAACAGCAAGAATAGAAATAAGAAATAGAAACCGTATAGAAGCCAATAGAAGATATAGATATCTTCTATGTTGACAATCAACTGTCGAACAAGGTTGGCCGTTGTATGAGATAGACTTGATGAAATGGTCATTGTTCGTACATATTGACATCAAGAATAGTAAAGCATAAAAGTCAACATCTTATGTTGCCTTACTAAGGGAAAGATATTTGTATGCATTATTAGATAGTATACAGTATAACATGGCGCTTTCCCCATTTTATTTCGTATTTATTCTATTTATATTATTGTCTACAGCTGATCCTACCGATGTAAGTAAATCAGAAAAAGAAAATAAAAAGATCAAAACATTTTCATTATTTTTAAAGTTTGATTTGCAATGTCCAACACCTCGTCGTTTATTATCAGTTGGCTCATTAAAATCACCATTAGTAGAAAAGAAATCTTCTGATAGTTCTTCAGCTTCAAAATCATCATCACCACCAAAATATGCTCGTTCAATTGATTCACATGGTCTGACAGTTTATATTCGACCACAAACACCAAAATCATTTGGTCACAAAACTCCTTCATATAGTCATTTGCTTAAACCAAAATTGCGTACAAATAAAGAAACCTCAAAATTACTTCGGAATAAACAAACACCAAAACCACATACAACCAAACAAAAATCAAAATTAAAACTATCAAAAAAGGGAAAACAACGGTTGAAAAAGAAAAATTCTACAAAACATAAATCATCAATCAATACTAAAAGTAAAGAATTAGTAACTATTAATCATGATAAACTTCATCAATATCAAACATTATTTCATATTGATTCAACACCAAAAAATGATAAAAATATTAAAAAATCAAACAAATCTAAATCAAATAAACCAGCAATAGTATCTAAAATCAAAAATACTACAAGTAATATTAAAATTACAAAGAATATTACAGAAAACCTACCTAATAGAACTACACCTTTACCTATAAATGATAAAAAAGCAAAAATTACAAAAAGAGATAATAAAATTAATACGGATGAGAAGAAAAAAACCAAAAAAATATCAATCAATAAAACGAGTGAGAATATATCTCTCACTCCATCTGTTAATGATAAACCAACCTCAACTTCATCACCTTCTCCTTTGCCATCAACGATAGATACAAAATCTCAAGAAAAAAAACCAGAAACAATCAATATTATAAATGAAACAGTTGAGCCATCAAGTACACATGATGATGAAAATACATCAGTTATTGGTCGTGCTTATCATTTTGTTAAAAATATGTTTCAATTATCAGATGATTTTCTTAGTGATAATTATTCTCAAGAAAATCATATAGCCGATATGACAAGCGAACATCAACAATATCACTCTCGTAAATTACTTTCAACTGATGATGATAACATATCAATGATTATGAATAATGATATAAATGATAATGAATATGACCTTTATTCAAATGATGAAGCACTTGATATGGCAACTGATGAATTTTCATTTGTTGTAACAAGTATATCAAAACGTCAATTACTTTCTGTCAAAAGAAAGAAACACTTGAAAGTATCAAAATTTAATAATGAAAAAGAAAAAAAACCAGAATCAATAACTGATGTTAATGCAAATAAACCTAAAGTTGGTTGGGCTTATCGTTATCGAATTTCACGTTATCGTGATGCTCAAAAACTTAAACAAGTTAAAAATAAAAATAAAATAATAGGAGAAGGAAAACATAAACAACATTCCCAACAACGACAATCAAATTCAAAACAAAATCGTAAAAAAACAGATTCTTCACGTAGTAGAAAACTTTCAAAACGAAAACTTCTTAAACGTAATAATAATGACGATTCAAGTTGGGATAAAGATAAAATGTAAGTTTATATTATACTTAAAATTTATTATATTTTAAACGTTTTATGTGAGAAGCTTTTTTTTAAAAAATGAAACTAATTGATTCATAATGTTAACTAATCCTCAGCTGCGTAAACATGTCTCTTTACAAGATCTTTCATTTATACCAGAAAATTGAGTTGTAATAGGTTTTCTTTTTTTTTCGATCGATCAGCTAGTTTTCAATTGACAAGAATCAATGTTAAACATAAGAACATATTTCAACATTTCTCCTCAATATGTTAGCCTTCAGAACTCGACATATGCAAAATTCTTTAGTTAGCTTCTAGAGTTTCGATCTACTGTCTGGATACTATTTCTATTTGTCATCGATGATCGAATCAATGACCATCATGTTAAATCGTTCATGCGCTGTTGAACTATTAATGTTTATCAATCGAATCGACCGTTTATTGAACTTAATTTTCTTCAATGGATTATAAAATATGAGAGAGAGAGAGAGAGAGAGAGAGTAGAAGCCGTAACTTGGATTTTAATTTGTGCAATCATTTGAATGAATAAAATAAATTTTTTTCTTTATACGACAAAAGAATAAACACTAGCACATACTTACCGACTATGTTTACAGGTCATTTTTCAAATTGATGATTATTTCTTCTATTCTGTATGCTTTATATTCTAACTTGCTAAAGGATAGAGTTGCTTTACTAACCATTTTAAATCTTGCAAAAACTCACAGTATTAACAATCTATTTCACATGTTTAGAAAACAATAAAAATTCTTGTTATTGTTTTTTCTCTACTTATAAATTAGAGATTTTAGTTTCATAGATATTCCATTAAACGTCTTTCAGTTTTGGTTATGTAAATAAAAAAACCATATAATTAATTTTCTTCTTTATTTTCATTAAAACAACATTTTCAGTCTTTCAGGTGAATAATCAAAAAGAAAACAAATTCAATTACCTGTATGTAGATATTAACCCTTCCTTTATACATATAGATCGAACCAAGATACCGTCAATACCGTATCAATTACCGAAACTTTTGTACCTAAACGTCATTTATTAATGTCTAAACGAAAAAATAAAAATGAAGAAGATGATAAAGACGATGAAGAAGATGTTGATACAACACATAACATTCGTCGAATGAATTCTCTCGAAGAATCTACCGATCCAATTCTTATCGTTCAGTCATATGAGAGTGGTTTATATAAACCTCGTGTCGGTTGGCAATTTCGTTATCGTGTTTCTCGTTATATTGATTCATTACGTGAAAATATTCGTGAAGATCAAGAACGTTTAAAATTAGGTTTACAAGCTATTAAACATAAAACACCACAAGTATTAAGTGGTAAACGTAAACGTGTCTTAGATAAACCACTTGTTCCTAAAGCAGATAAATTAAAAAAAGAAGACGAAGAAGAAGAACTAAAAACTGTAGAAGTAATTCAAATTTTTTTTAGGTTCAATTAAAATAAAACAAGCAAATTTCTTTTCGTTTTACTTCTCATTTATAGGACAATAAGCCTCATGTTGGTTGGCGTTATCGATATCGTATAAATAAAATGGTTGAAGCTAAAAAACGTGGAGACTATATTGATGGTAAACAAGAAAAACTTCAAGAACGTCTTGAACAAGAAACGAAACAATCAAGTTCAAAAAAATCTCAAGATGATGAACATATTCTAGGAGAAACTTGTTTTGATCCTGAATTATGTCAAATAAGTCCTGAAGGTCGTCGTGTTGGTTGGGCATATCGTTATCGTATTCGTCGTAAACTTGATGATTTAAAACGACAACAAGCTGGTAAATTTTAATTTTATCATTCAGTTTTTATAAAACTTCTTTGTCTTTTTTTTTCTTTTGTTTGAATAATTAGAAACTGGAATAACATTTGATTTACGTACATTAAGTGTTAATGGTGAAGAAACAGTTGATCAACCAGAGCTAAAATCCACAGAAAAGAAAAAACGAACTGAATTCGTTGAAGAAAAATCAATAAACAAAACAAAATCTGTTGGTTGGCAATATCGATATCGTGTATCAAAAATGCATGAAGCACAAAAACATAATAAATCAAAAACATCAACAAAAAAAAAGCAAAATAAAACATCAACTCAGGAACAAATTGATCCAGAATTAGCACGACTTGCACCGGAAGAACGAAGTGTCGGATGGAAATATCGGTTAGTTATATATATATATTCTTGGAAAAAAATTTGATGTTTTTGTTTTGATTTCATTATCTATTTAAGTTATCGTGTTCGACGTAAACTTGATGCATTAAAAGAAGATGCTAATCGTGAAAGTGGAAAACGTACTAAAAAAGAACCATTATCATCGAAAAGAAAAGAAAAAGAAAAACTTAAAGAAAAAGGTGAAGGATCATTTGAAAAAATTCTTAACATTAGCAATATTGATGGAACATCATTGATGGGATATTTTCGTCGTGCATCATCCTATGTTTTATATGGTCTTTTACCATCAGCAAAAAAATCGATTTGTCTTTTACCATTACCTATAACATTTTCTTTTTGTAAAAAAGAAAATACTGAACAAGCAGAAACAATAACAGACAAAACAGAACGAATTCGAATTAAAAAATTAAAAACAAGAAAGGAACAACGTGCTAAACAATTTATACGTTCTCATATAACGAAATTAGGCAAAGATGATAAAGTTACCGAACGACGTGTTGATGAAGCTATGAAAGATTTATATAAAAAACCCTCATTACCACCTTTACAAATACCACCATCAACTCAAAAAAGCAAAAAAACTCGAAAAAAACACCATAAAAATTCATCTAAACGACCAAATCAAGATGAACAAAGAAAACATTTTAATAAAAAACATAAAACAAAAAAACAGATTGGAGTTGAATCGAAAAAGAATAAAAATAGAAAACGTTCTCAAATTATTGGTCGAGAAGTTAAAATTAAACATAAGCACAAATCTTGTCCGTTTGCTGTTACAATAGCACCTCCAACTAAACCAACTTCTCAACCACCTTCGTCCTTTCAACGTCTTCGAACTCTTTCCGAAGTTATCCGTGAAGAAGCGGTAACTCTATTTGGAGGAACATCAAAATCCTCGAAAACACCTGAAGATATCAACGACAAAATAAACGAAGCCAATGAAATTATACAAGAACGTTCAAAAGATCAAGCGAAAAAACCATCACCACCATCGACTCCTATTGATAGTACAATATCTAACAAAGAAGATCAATCGATATTAAGAGATAAAAATAAAAAAAAAACATAAAGAATATACGAAAGAAAGTATGCATGATATGATTAATTCATAAAAATATCATGATAATAGTTTTTAGACAAATTATTTTTACCTTCTTTTTTTAATAAAGAAGATGCTTTTAAATATTATATATATAATTAGTTTAAATATGAGAATATTGTAATGAAGTCAATGAATTAATTGATAATTGGGATTGTGTATCAATGGATGATGATTCTTCTAAATGATTGATCATTTCATTTGAATTAAGATATTCAATAGAAATCAGTTTATTAATTCGTGATGGACGACTACACTTTGTACAAACAAAAACTAAAATCATAGTTATCGATATGAGAATGATAGAACCGACAAATGATATAAATATGATCAATGCTTTCTTTAATCTATTTGTTGTACGTTGTTGATTATTATTTAATATTGTTGATACATTAGTAATTGTATCAGAGAAAATCAATCTATCATTATTATATGTAACAAAGTTTCTTTTTATTGATTGTAGATGTTCATCAATACGTTTATAACGTACAAATAAATGTCGACGATTTAATTTAAAAATATCTGATCGATAGAGAATAATTGTTGACTGACATGTTGAATAATAATTTGTAAGCATAGAAAGCCAAATTTTAAATATGAGTTGAAGCATATTTCAAACCTTCAGTAAACAACAATTCCTAACATTAGAAAAAAGAATATCTACCCGCTTTTACTTTATATTAACATTTGGATATGTAAGAATTTATTTCTTGTTAGCAATATTTTGATTAAATTTAAATTAAGTCCGATTTTTAATACATTTAAAAGGGTGAAGAAAGTCTTTTTTCAATGAATACCAAGAGAAAAAAACCGTATTCTCTGATCTAAATCTTATGATCAATTACTTTTGCATTGAAATGTCGTTTTTTAGAAGCGTTACTCTGGCAAGTTAGTGTCTACACCAACTGACACGTTTTCGTCATTACAACATGCGTTTCAATATTGATGATTGTTTACGTCTTGATGCGAATACTCTAGACGAATTTCTTTTTCTCAAAGGAACAATTCAATGCAGTAATTATGTCTCTGTGTATACCGCAATTATGTGAAAGAATAAACAGAACAGAATGTATAAAGATGAAACGACTGATGTCCATAGGAATGTTAATGCCACATTGCTTATTATATTCTTCCCAAGAGGTAAAAAAGATTCCAATTGATCAAAATACATGTTGAAATGATGATATACAGTAAATCAATGAGAAAAAAAATGTCTGCCTAACCAATACTTCTTTAACACCAAAACTTCAGGAACTACTTTTCAAACATAACATATGCAAATCTTATCAATACTTGCTAAGAATAATTGTTTTATTTTTATTTTTTTTGCGTTATGAATATGTTACTCGCCGAGATCAATGTTACCACAAATCTGTGCAATTTCATTATTGAAACATCTGTTTGTATTAAGTATAATAATATATCCCTTGATATAAATTTGGTAAACAACTTCTATATTTCAACGTCATCAAACAACAATTCTTCTGTCCTGACATATTTTGCTGTTGTCTTTTCTTCTTTCTCTATGACATCTTGCAATATATGCTGATTGTTTTGCATTATTTCTCAACAAATGCTATCGCTTGTTATATTTTTGCACTTAAACAAATAACTAACTCTGATCAGCATACCTGTTGCAATCACGAACTTCAGTGGACTGGAGAGTATATTAGTCTACCTGATCAACAAGCTTATTGAACGAAAATACTATGCCATATTGTGAAAATAACGACACTTACTGACATTTTTTTTTATGAAACTAAGTTGAATTTCAATTTCTTTTTCTTTCACTGTTTCATATTTTTATCTTCTTTTTAAAGCATATTTTCTAAAAGTTTTTTTTTGTCATAACGTCAGAAAAACAGTCATAAAAAATAAATTAAATAAATAGAAAATTGCAATTATCAAATATTAATCAATGAAAATTACCAAATATACTAACATACCAAATTTTTTTTCATGCATAAAATGCGTAAAATTTGATTGCAATTATTAATAAATAGTAACAACAGACAGAATATTATTTTTTTTTTCAAATGAAGTGACTGTTATTTTAATCGTTAGATACAATATTTATAAGATATTTATTGAAGATTTCGTTGAAATCAAAATGATCATCGATAAAAAATATCAAAACAATGTATTCAAATATTTCAATTAAAGCTGATCTTTTATGTCATAAATAAATTCTTCTTATATATATATGTAACTCCAGAAAGATCCCTATCTTTTAATTAGTAGTATTCAAGATGATAAATTATCTTAAAGATTTGATGTTCTTTTGTTCATCAAGTAATAAATATAAAGATGCCTACGAATACGCTAAGGACAAGTTATCTTAATTAAGATAAAATATGTTACGAGAAGATTCAATTAAGATAAATCGAGTTATCGTCAATGATCATCAAATATTATCAATAGAATCATGTATCCAGAGAATTTATTTTGATTATATTTTACTGTTAAGCAATTAAAAATCAAGATAAAACTTTTTCCATCGATAAATATTGATCAATACTTGGAAATACTGAAGAATATGCATATCAATAACTATCTGAATTCTATATTTATCTATGTTTTGTAGATAAATATCAAAATATAATAAAAAAATTTCTACTTAATTGATTTTTTTCTTTAAGATTATTTTCTTGGAATACTAATTAATTCATATCTTAATAAATGACTTATTGTTAACGACTTAAATGAAATATCTCTGAATGATACTTTCAAATCTATTGGTTTTAGTCATTCTTAAAATAAATTTGATATTTAGTCAAGTCTGATATCATTTTGCATAATCGATTCGTAAATCTCATTGAGAAAAATAATAAAATATACTTGAAATATATTTACGACATGATATACGACAGATTTGCAACATTATTCTTTTGATTGCCAAAAAGAAAATTATTTGCGATTTCGAGCAAGATGAAACATATAAATATTTTTTTTTAAATTCTTGCTATAAAATAAATCGTTGGTAAAAATGAAAAACGATTACGGATGAATTGATTTATGAAGAAAAAGATAGATAAATGACAAAAGTATTTCTGTAAATACTTGAGTTTTTATCTTTCGAATTTTTTTTACAGTCATAAGAAAGATGAAAGAAAAAGTTTACTGTCATTAAGTGCATATTATATTCATTAAAATGATGATGATTTATTACAGAAACTTAACTCTTGTACACTAGTGTTGTCAGTATGCAACAGGCTTTATTTCATCAACGATAGATATGTTTATTAGAATTGATTGTATGCCTGTTTGCAATAGCATCTAGAGTCAAGTGTTATTATCTATATACAATCTCTTCACAAGTATAGTTGCTTATTGAATGTTTTTGTTAAGATGTAAATAATCAATATGTATATATTGCAATGATGCAAATATACTGACGATGTCAGCCTGCTAAATATAACACATAACTCATTTTATTAACATGAAGTGATAAATCATTAATTGAACATTTCTATATTCTTTATTTATATCAAATCTTTTTTGAGTCTAAAACAAGATGGTTGAATTTCGATAGTAAATACACAAAATATTATCAACAAATTTTAAGAAGTAGCGTAATCAAGATTTTAACGATACGGGTAAGGCTCAACTTTCTTAACCACTCATGTTGATTACGCCATTGTTCTTAAATGAATTTTATTCATATAATATGAAAAAACAACAAATAATCTTTAATCACGCTCATAAAGTGTTAGAAAGTCTGGCAAGAGTGCTGATCGAGGATTTGCATCAAATGGTATAATGATGACAGGTTTAAATGGTGGACCAGATATTTTGTGTGTTGTACTTTCACCACCGGACAAACTACAAAATAAACAATTTAAACTTTTCAGTTCTAAATAGATTTTCGAACGATAATTCTTTACCTATAAAGTAAATGTAGAACAGAAGAATTAATACCACGATTAACAATAATTAATCGATCAATAAGATCACATTCACGTAGGACATTAACAATAGATTTATCTAATCGAAAAAAAAAGAGAAAATATAGAGTAGCAGAAAACAAAATGTCCTATTATACTTTGTCGTAAATCTTGTCGATCGAGCTCACTTCTAGGCGGTCCAAAAATACATGTTAATGAAGCATTTTTCTTTTTATTCTGTTCAATTTTTGTTAATATTGTTTTAAATTCATCTTTTTTTGTACAAATACTAAATTGAACATTTTGTGTATGTGCTAGAAGAAAAATCAAATGTTGAAAAAAGAAACAAAAGAAATTAATCAAAAAAGAAAAAAAACCGATTACGATATTTTTCTTGTGTTTTTGTTGCTGTTTTTATTGCAAATCGACTCGGATCAAGACCATAACATTGATCTGCATGTTGGCTAGCAATCAATGGTAAAACACCTAAAATATTTAATTTATTATTCAAAATTAAATACAAAACAAACAAAACAAAACAAACCAATATCAGAATAATATTGAAGAAATACAGTTGATGTTGGGTCAAAATTACATAATTTTAATACTTCAGCATAAATTGATTCATAAGCTGTTAGATTTGATATTCCATAGGATTGTAAATTTGGTTCAAATTTCATATCAAATAAATCATAATGAAATGCTTTATTTTTATCACCGATAATCTTTTCATAGGATGTTTCATTAACAATAATTGGCCAACGTTGAGATCTAAATTGAAGAAAGTAATATCAAAAACAAAAAAAAAAGAAAAATAATAAAATTTTACAAACCGTCGTTCAAAATATAAATGATCTATATGACATTCTCGTCCTGGACCATTCTCAAAATATTTTAATAAACGTTCTTTAGCTGCTTGACGTTCCTTTTAGAAAACAGTATTAAATTAAAATAAAAACAACAACAAAAACAATACTCAATCTTACTGAATTATTAATTTTTCGATCAAAATAACCAATAACAACAATTTTTTGATCTTTTTTATTTGTATAAATACGTATTGGTCGCCAATGATGTAAAACATATTCAGTATTCGAGATATCTTTTACTTCTTTTTGAAGAAATTCATAATAATGCTATATGTAAAGAAAACCAAATTGATTGTTTAAAATAAACTTTAGTTAAGAAAAATCATTTACTTTAATAATCAATCGATCACGTTTTTTGTATATATCTACATCATCAATAGGTAAAACTAACATCGTCTGATTATCTTCATTTGATGCTGCAAGAAAATTTTCATTAAATTAAAATAATAAAAAAATTCTTACTTGAATAATCATTTGCAGTTGATCGATTAGGTATTCCAAGTGCTAAATTGCCTGAACGTGTTTTACCTAAATCAGCCATACATGAGGTTAAATATTCACTTGTTGCTGACTAAAGTGATATTTCGTATATAATTATAATAAAAATTAATTAAAAAATATTTATTACAGTTCGTTCAATATCTCGAATAGGACATAAATTAACATCATTTGTTCGAATTAATTTACGTATAGATGGATGAAGTGCTCGATCATAAAAAAGTGTTTTAGCTACTGATTGAAATCGACTTTCAAGTTGACGTTGTTTAAGCTAAATAATTTTCATAAAATCAAATAATAATAATAAGAAATTCATTAACGAACTTTTAATTCTTCTTCATAAGAAATATGTTGATATGGCATATACAATTCAACAGCTCTGAAATGAGATAGCTACATATCAGATAATAAAATGTGCTTATCATTGTTTAATCCTGACATGACTACCTGAGATCCGGACAGACTTCAGTCAGGTTATCATATTGTTATGACTACACGATGTTAGATGAAACTACTTTTTTTTGTAGATTACGTTCTAATGAATACTTAAAGATTATGATAATGACATCAGTCAGTTAAACCAATTTGTATAAATATGAATAGACCGTCTCCAAGTACATGTGAACACTTGTCGGTTACCTGAAATCTGTTTTGGCCTCAGTTCGATTCATCCTTATCATGGCTTTGAAGGATACATGTGGGACACTCAGTGCAATGCATTGATAACACTACTCACGCATGCACAGTTGTTTTTGTTACGTTACAGCAATTCTAAGTTATCTCAAATACCAAATAGTCATACAACAATCTCAAACACGTCGAGAATAAACAATGTCAAGATACTTCAAACTTATTGGTTTTTTTTTGTATTCAAGTGTGTTTTTGAGCCATCACTAGTTGATGATGAACTAGGAATATCTCTTTGTGTATTATACTTAGTTTATCAATTGGGGTTCTCATCGATCTCAAGTAGATAAAAATCAACATTCCGAAAGATGGTGGTCATGTCAGAATTAATATTTTTAGTACCTTTTTTTTGGATCACGTAAAACATCAGTAGTAAGAAATGTTGGTAAATTATCAGGTGGAGGTTCTACAGCTGTAAAAGATTGTATCGATGAATAAAAACATTTCCTTAAACAACAATCAATTAATATACGTTCCGTGATTAAACAACATTTTACCAATATTTTATATAGGAAAGTGAATATATTCTTTTCATTAGATAAACAGAATACATGGTATCTGGAAAATGAGAAATCGATTTTTTTTTGAGAATCGATCAATGATATTTGTATATTTTGATTTTATTTATTCAAAAAAGAAAAAAGAGCAGAATTTTTCAATTAAAAATATAATTAAGAAAAACAATTTATTGCTGAGAACATTTTGTGAAGAATGAACGCATTGATCATATTGCATTTTATTACTCGATTCTTATGATATCCATCTACGATTTAGGATAGCATCGTCATAATCGAAGAGCAATAGATTGTGTACATTCTCATGCAATGTTCATCATCATCATCATCATCATTTGATCATTGTTAGGACGGACGACGACGAATATCATCAGTTTGACTAACACCTGGTCGAGCGTACATTTCTAAAAAGAAAAAAAAAACAAAAGAGAGTGATAAAACCTTCGAATATACCGAAAAAATAAACTAACGTGCTGCTGACGATTTCTGTTCATAATGAGCAGAATTAGTCTTCATTGAACAATTGCCGCCTCCCTTGAGTAGTCATCCTTGCTGTTGTTTTGCCGTTGACAGTCCATCTAATCTTGGATTAGACCGAAATGCATTTGCAATACGACGGGCAACCCAAGAGACTGCATCGACAATTAATCAAACCATAATTAATCACTACCAAGTGAGCAATACACAAGTACTTGAATCAAAATCAGTATTTTATATCTGTAAGAAAAAAATCAAACGTAATTCGCTCTTGTAGAGAAAAAGAACATTGAAGTATACTGATGATGCATTATGTTGCTCAATCGACCGTGTCTATATATAACCTTCTTGTCATCATGTATTTTTTTTCACTGTGACCTATACTCGCAAACGTGAACAAATCAGTTGTATTCTGTTTGTTCATCGTTTATTTTTTCTCTCCTATGGAAAAGCCGAAATATTCGTATCAATCTCCATCAGTTTCATCAGCGACTTCAAGTCAACAAACTCATACGACCAGATTAAAGTAAATTTTTTTTTTATTGTGTTATAATCAATCTAAAAGAAAAAAAATACATTTCTATTGAGATCTCCTCCGTTATCGGACTATGAATATGTTGGTCGATTGGTAACACGTGAACGACCAATTATTCGCAAGTCGAAATCAATACAACAAAATCTTGTTTTTCCTCAAAATAAACAAAAATTTTATCATTCAATGGCGTCTCATGGTCGCGATGTTTATGATGATGTACAAGTTTCATCGAGTGATGATGATTTGGATGGTTTAAATAAACCATTAGGCGTTATACGAATAAGTGATCGACATTTACGAGAAAGTATATGAAACAAAAAAAAATTATTCTACAATAAATTTTAAATAAAACTTTACTATAGTCTACCGATTACCAACCCCACCACCCAAGGTTAAACGAGTTTATCATCGTCTTAAATCACCTGAGCCTAAAGTAATTGAACGAGTATTTGTTCGTCGTCCTCCACCACAAATTATTGAGAATATTATCGAAATACCACCAGAAAAAGTTCGTATAATCCATAAAGAAAAATATTTAGGAAAAACGACACCAATTACACGATCAAAGTAGAAAAAGAAAAAAATTTAAAATTTATCTATTCAAACTAATTTATCTGTTTCAGAATAGTACGTTTAAAATCACGTGAGCAACGCCAAAGAGAAGCAGAAGAACAACAACAGCAAAATTATATTCCATTTGAGCACTACTCTCAACAAGAATATGAACATCAAACACCGACAATACCATCTACTACGTTCGATCAATCAGCAGCAACAACAACAGGAACAACACTGGTTTATCCTCCACAACCAAATATGCGTACTGTTGGTTACTTTGAATCAACAATTCCACCAGAAGTTATGTTCAAATCGAATAATCCTCTTCAAATCCCAGCTCAACAAATTTCTAATGATCCAATGATGCAACCAACATCTTATAATCCTTCATCACAACAAATACCCCTTCAACAAATGGGTCAACCAACATCTTATAATCCTTCATCACAACAAATATCCCTTCAACACATGGGTCAACCAACATCTTATAATCCTTCATCACAACAAATACCCATGCAACACATGAGTCAACCAACAGCTTATAACCATTTACCACAACAAATACCTTTGCAGAACATGGGTCAATCAATACCCTACAATTATCCGTCACAACAAATACCCATGCATCATATGGGTCAACCAACACCTTATAATTATCTACAACAATAGACAATGTTCAAATTCTTCTTATGAATATACTCAATCTGAATAAAAAAAAAAGAAAAAGAAACAAAGATTTGTTCAATAAAACTTTTAATCCCTTTTAAAAGTACATAATACAATATATAGCATATAAGATTAAAAAAGTCATTGCCGTTAAAAAAAGACTAAGATTAAATAAAACTGACATATTAGTAATTAGAATGTTTTTAGAAAGAAAAAGAAAATGAGTTTATTTCTACTCTGCTTTTTTACCACCATTTCGACCACCACCCAATGCAACCATAATAACCATTGACCAAAGTACAACACCCAATACCACAGCTGTAACCAAAGCCGGATAATCAAAACAAAATTTCAGTATGTCATACAGATTCATGATGTTTGACTTAATATCATCTGAAATTCAGAAAAAAAAATAAAAAAAGGAGGAAACAAAAGACATCTTTGAGGATGGACGAAAGGAAGAGAAAATGTTATCTATTCAAAAAGACAAAAATGGTCCAAGGGATTAAATGAACATGTCACTCTACAACTATGATTGATTGACCGTTCGTATGAATGCATTTTTTTTTTGAAATGATAAAACTAAAAAAAAACCAAATTACAATTATAATAAAATGTGCTTTTGTAAATTTGTATATTTTATACAAACCCTAATCGTCTGAAGCAGTTCCTTCATCAACAGCTTTTTGTCCATGTTTATCAATCATCGCTACTCGTTTCATTTCATCAAATTTACGACCATAAATTGGAATTCTTGTATTAGTTACTTTCCAATCGGTTATATAAAGACAATAGATAAGAGCTGCTGCACCAAATAACGTCAATGATGGTGCACTAAAAACAAAAAAAATAATACAAGTTAAAGACACAAAATGTACTAGTTTTGATGGCGTACTAATTCTTCAAGATTTGAAAATGTCGTGGTCCAGTAAATCTGCCAACACCTATAAAATTGATATAAGAAAATTTTGAAAAACAAGACAAAAACTCATTTACCTGGCAATTTACTCAAATAATAATCCATGAATGTAAATGTATTCTTTTCACAATTAATCTAAAACAAAAAGTATGAAGAAATAATAAAATATTGAAAAAAAAACAATTTCTGTACAATCAAGCAAAACGACTCGATCTACAAAAAGTATCCGTCGGTGAAGTATGATTGTTATTTTTTTGTTATTTTTGCACGTAAACTCAAGTTGTGAGTATGAGAATGAATCTTTTCACATACACTTTTTAAACATTTATCGTGCATAATCATTTATAGAATATAACAGAGACAAAATCGGCAAAAAAAAAACAAATGAGCTAACTGACATTTTACAAAAGGCAATAAATAAATAAATTTACATGTTCTTATCGCATCCATTGTTTCGAAGCTAAATACCTCTAACCAAATTTTATTATATTTCGTATAGTTGTCACTAATAAACAGTATGGATGTCGCATTCACTTCCAATCGTTTCAGAGAAACCAATAATATTATTAAGATATTCGAACTCATTCATAACTGATGCTCCTATCTTATGAAAATAAACGCTAATTATTTTTGAACATCGATAGAAATATGAATCGTTCTGATAGTTAGACAGAGTGAGCTACTTCCTTACTCATGTTTTGAATCAAGAGTAAAAGAAACCTATATAAATATCCGTTTCCAAGTCATTAAAAGTACTAACTATAAAATTCTAGTCAACTCAAAGAATTTCTATTTCTTGGATTTATCAATTTGTATTAGTTCTTGCCTTCTGAAAAATACTACTGAAAAACAATTATCATCAGCATGATCGACTCTATCAATAAATTATTAACGAATGTTGCTAAGTTTGACTCGAAAATACAAAGTATATTTATACCATGCAACACTTTTGCATTCCATAAGATATATTACAACCACAATTTTAATTTAATTTTAAGAAGTGTTATCAAAGTCCAACAGTTTTATACCAAACACGGTGCGAAGCAGTCTTTATGTAGTCGCTTGTGTACGTATTCGACATCCATACTTTACGTGTTTTTTCGCTGTAACAAAAACTGTACTTTGTATTGCAATAATCTAGGGAACTATGAGTCGCTAGAAACTCGTTCGAACTTTGCCAAAGAAATTGATGTCTCGAGATGATATAAACGTTGAATTTTCTATCTAAGTTTTCTTTTATCTTCAGTAAGTTCTACAAAAACCTTTTACTCGACATAATAAAAAGTGTTGAGAATTAGTCTCTAGTCAGCTAATCCGCCAGCTTTTATGTTAATTGAAACTGCATGACCAAAATTGAGAACGCTTCGCACCTTTTTCATATATAGTCCTTGGCAAGTTTTCATTTTTTTTTCACTTACTAAACATACACGTCGAGAGTTATCATTTTACTTTCCAATAATCTCGAGAACCAAAGTCAGAAACTATGCAGATACAATATCTTGCATTGTCTTATTCACGCATCGACGAATGTAAAAATTGTTTTAATAGTGTGGATTTGTTGACTACCTATTTTTCGTAGCAAACTCTTATATTTGAAACCAAAATCGACTTTATCTCTTACACTCTTAACCTTTGTTGTGCTACAAAGAGCATACCAACAACAACATGGATGTGTATCGCATCGAACAAGAATGTGTCAAATGCAAATTAACACAGTACGTTGTTTGAATTTCATCGTCTATCTACGAGAGAGGTGACGTATAAAAAACTACTATATATTTGAATGTTTGCTACAAACCGCGGCGTAACTGCCATGAGTCATGAAAAACCCTTTTCAACAGGTGAGCTCATTTCTTTTCCTTGTCTCACCTGATTAGTCCATTAATGTGCTTCATCCACATCTAATGAAATAGCGAAGGAGTTAAAGCAATATGGCCGATATTCTTGAAATATCCGCGTAATGATTCACAGCTGTTTCGACGCCAGTTGTGGCAACCTCTATACTAGCTAAAAGAGGATAGAATTTATTTGAATCATTCAAATAAGAAAAAATACATGGAATAGATTGAAGAAAAGTATTAGGAGTTATTGTTAATTTGACTTGACATCTACGAGTATAATTACTAAGAATAAGAGTCGTTTTTTGATTTTTTTAATCGAAGACCATGGTTAACTAGAGTGTTTAGTAATTATATTCAAACATGGACAACATTTGATTTAAGTCGATCATTACTTGATGTTGAAAAATTTTAAGATGAATGTGTATTGGCTGAAGAGAAAAAACAGAAGGATACAATCAATCTGCCATTTGATTAACGATTATACTTATCTGATGAAAATAACTTCAGCAAATCTGTACATAAACGATATTGACAATACATTTTGTTGATCTCATAGATGATCTAGATTATAAAGAATGAAGCAATCTACAAATATCGTTGCAATACTTTCTCTCATTGTTCTCTTCGATGAAATCTGGTTTTCAAATTTGAAAAGACGAAAGAATATTTGAATCTATTTCTATATACTCGATAACGTATTATTAAATAATTTACCATCTATCATTAATAATAATAAAATAATTAGATGCTATTGTTTGCATGCTCAATGTTTTAATCGCTATTATGTTACTGCCATCGTCGTCTGAGAAAGACATGTGATCAATATTAAGTGGAAGAAAAACTAATAAACTTCTCACTACTCTCACCTATATCGGTCTGTGGACAAAGTAAAGAGACGAAATAATGCTCGTTTATCGACGAGATACTTATTTGATGATAAAGAAGTGGATTGATTTGTTAGTATTTCGAATTTTATTTCCTTCTATTCAGATAGAGGTTGACAACATCCTTTGTGGGCGTTGTTCATATGATTGTTTTATTAATATTACTTCAGTTGCATTCCATTCAATTGAGTATTCGAAAATCAATATTTCTCTTTTCGATTTTTCTTTGCCTTTTCATTTCTTTTATTGTTAATATTCAATAATATGAAGATGTAAATATTTGTAATCATGTAAGCTAGTAATCAAAGGAGACGCAAATAATGTTTCAAATTCAATCAAAAATCCTTAAATAAAAAGTTTCATAAATGTTATTGAAAATCGTCACACATCCCCTCTACGTGTAGCAAGGATTAGCTGTTCCTCTTCCATATTATTGAATTAATTAAACTCATCAGTACAAATACAAAAAGATGTTCCGTTTACATTATTGAATCAATGAATATGTATAAAAAGAAAAAGGTGAGCAAGACCATAGGATTATTTAAAATCAAGTGAAATTGTGCAGTTGACATATAGACGAGATAAAGCTAGAAGAAATTCAACAAAATATCAGTGTAAAATAAAAAATAAGTGTGAATATACATCATTCTGATTAACTTCTTAAATCCAAACATGTCTGTCTTACATCAATCAAACGTAAAGATCAATTAATTGATGGTTTTCGTCATCATCGGGATAGATCAGTTTGACGTTGTGTAAGAGACAATTACAAAAGTCGTGCACGTTATGACGGAGTAATGTACGACATGTTTTTAGGATCATATATGTCACGCGGTAGATTCAAATGAAATTTGAAAAAGGTTTATTTGATAATGAAGTTAGAGAGAAAACAGAACAATTTTATGATCCACTAAGATGAATACAACCAGGGTCACAGTTTATATTATATTTAGATGCTGTCATTATTGCTTCTCAATATGCAGCATCACAACGTGCCGCCATTCAACGTTTTCAACAACATATAAATATTTCAATAGAACCTAAAACATTAGCCGCAATTGTCATTCTGCTAGATTTTCAAATTACTGTTGCAAATGAACAATTTCCATTACACGATAATAATGATTACCATCAAAGATAATTATTATTGACCAGTAATGAATAGTTAGCTTCTTTTAAAATTGATGTGACTGTTGGCATTGTGATAGTACGTTGCTGTAAGTCTTTGGTATACGAATTGAATTGCTGCATTATACTGGTTTTTTTATTTATTTATAGCTTCGAAAGGATTTGAATAGATGTATTCTATTCACTAGTCAATACGTGAACAAACATTGTCATTGTCGTACTCTATTTTATCAATTAAATTTCAAGAAACATATAAGAGATTCTTCAAATTAGTTGATCAGTAGTACATGCAACACAAACCAACATATATCATGATTAATTTTGAAAAAGGAGTCGAAAATACATTCACTGTAGTATTTCCTCAATATGGTATATTTGAGTTTTTTTTCATTCTAAACAGTACCTATAAAGAAATAGTTGCTTAAATTTGTTTTAATCATAACACTTTAAATGGGTTTTGTTTTGTGCTATGTTTAATATTTCTTGTTGTCTCACACGAATCACGTTTCAAAAGAAAATTTGTTGAAAATAACATTAGTCATCGTACGATGAATATTTTAGTCGCATTATGTTTCATTCCATAGCTAAATGCTATTGAAGAATTTATTCGAATAATGTAAAATGCATCAAATGTATTAGATAGTAAAAAAATGTTTGTATATGTATGTATATAGAAACTTTATCTGACATTTTTAACTTTCAAAGTTACTAATGTATTTTGAAGACAACTTCATCGGTAACACCATGTTCAGAAATCGTACGAAAAGCTCTAGCTTTCGTGTGTCATTGCGAATCTCTTTTTCAAAAGCTAGGCTAAATGTATGATTCAATATGGAGCATGGAGCATGGATGTGGATCTAGTCGTGGACTGCCGATGAGGATGTCGGCATCAGTCCTGTATTTAGCCATACTCATGCACCCACAAGAAGACCTACACTCATGTCGCTTTAGAATTATTTCTTTTTATTGTCTAAAATTATAAGAATAGAAATCTGTTGGTCGAAATTTGATTTTGTTTATCTGAGATACTCTTTGTAAGTTTAGTAATGATAGTCACCAATAAGAACTTTCTATATAGCTGTTCGATACTGTATATATCATCTATTTCGGATGAAATAATGTTTTAACATACATGTCTTAATTGTAATGTGTTAAAGTAAAACATTTATGCGTATGTTAACTTGGTTTTGATTCATAGCTATCTGATTATGTAGTAGTTGGAGGTAGAGTTTTATATCACAGCCTGTCATGCGACTTCGTAGTCTGACCAAAAAGAACCGATGTGTCTGTTAGGGGACTGATTTAACAGTTTTGTCCACGTAATTATTTGAATAGGAAGCAAAATTTGCCAGTTGTTCGAATATTACGTAGTCATGCTGAGCCTACCCAAGCTCCATTGGGGCCGCCGCCACTGTATGGTTCCTATCATTGCTATTGCACGTCATACCCAGATTCATTACAATACCAACCCAATGTGACTCGCTCTGCATGTACCCATTTTAGGCTCATGAAAGGTCTCCTTAGTCGCGCGCCTGCGCGATAAAGAGCTGAGAAAGCCAGAAGAGTGCGTAACAATCAAAAGAAGTTTATTAAGCAAGCTAGAGAAAAAAACAAATTTACATCTTCTTTTTTACATAGTTAATATTATTTATTGTTCGTTTAATTGCAGAATGCGTTGATGGAAGTGATTTCTGTTGAATAGCAAGCGCCTTTTCTCCAAATTCAAGTGCTTTTGCGTAATCACCCATGGCGCAATACATTCCACCGATGTTGCCATAGGAAATAGCCAACGAGGGATGATTCGGTGGCAGAGTGGCTTCTTTTATTTTATGTGCTTTGTCGTAAAATTCAAGTGCTTTCGAGTAGTCACTTATGCTATTATACACTAGACCGATGTTGTTGTAGGAAACAGCCAACGAGGGATGATTAGGTGACAGAATTTTCTTTTTGATTTCTAGGTCTTTTTTGTAAATTTCAAGGGCTTTCGAATAGTCACGCATGTTGTAATACACTTGGGCAATGTTGCTGTAGGAAACAGCCAAATCGAGATGATCAGCAGATAAACTTATTTGTCTTATTCTTAGCGCTTTTTCATGAAACATAAGCGCTTTCAAGTAATCACCCATGCTGTTATACATCACACCCATATTGTTGTAGGAAGAGGCCAAATCGAGGTCATTCGGAGGCAAAGTTGTTTCGTATATTTTCTTTACTTTTTCGCAAAATTCAAGTGCTTTCGAGTAGTCACCCATGTTGTTATACATTTGACCAATGTTGTTGTAGGAAGAAGCCAAATCGAGGTCATTCGAAGGCCAAGTTTTTTCGTATATTTCCTTTGCTTTTTCGTAAAACTCAAGTGCTTTCGGGTAGTCACCCATGTTGTTATACACTAGACCAATGTTGTTGTAGAAAGAGGCTAAATTAAGATCATTCGGAGGCAAAGTTTTTTCGTATATTTCCTTTGCTTTTTCGTAAAACTCAAGTGCTTTCGGGTAGTCACCCATGTTGCTATACTCTAAACCAATACTGCTATAGTTATTAGCCAATGAAGGATGCTTTTCCGAAGAAGATTTTCGTTTCATTTCGAGTGATTTCTCACAAAATGAAACTGCTTCTTTGTATTGTCCTTGGCGGTATTTGATCATTCCGAACATATGATAGATATCTGCTCTGTCACTGTCGCTGGAAGTCTTCTTGAGAAATTCATTGAAGAAATCTTCAGCTTGATTAAAGTGACCCATCTGTAGCATCAGAGCGCCTAATTGCTGCCATCCTGTAGACTCACTGAATTTTTCCGATATGCGTTGGATGACAGCAACCAGTTGTGAATCATTGTCGTCTGTAAGAGTCAATTCAACTTCCCATAGACGACTATTGTTGACTGTCTGTTTGATTTCATCGATATGAAAAACGGTATGCATTGAGAAGAGTATTTCTTTCGCGTTTGAAATAGCACTGTAATCGTCGATAAGAGCAAACGGAGTAGTCGAAGCTGAAACTCTACTTGGATCAACTCTCATAATAAAAAGCACACCAACATTGTGTTCATATTTGCGTTGTATATTTTCAACAAATTCCAAAGCAACGTGTTTTTCTGTGCTCGTCGACATGAAATTGTTGAACGAGATGAATCCATCTTTCGTTTCGAGTAGTTGTTTAAAGTTCTGCTGGGTGAGTCCCTGACCACGATAAACGATAAATTGTTTCTTAAACACACTCGATTGTTCTTTACAAAGTTGTTCTAACTGTCGATGGAGATCACGGATGAAAAAGCCCATGTTTATCATGGCCTCTATGTCAAGTGACCGTAGAGCACAATTAAGCATGCTGGACAGAAAAATTTCACACGTGTACCACCAAATTGGCGATTTTTGATAGTATTGAGACTGGAAGCTCTTTAATTCAGATTCAGGAATATTTTTGTTCCGACAATAGGCGACAAGATCTTCCAAAGATTTTGCATCATCTTCATCAATTGTCAATAGGATTTCTTTAAGTAATTTTGAATACATAAATGATGGCTCGAATTGGTCAAAACTTGTTTCATTCGATGCCGCTTCTATGGCCATTATGTTCTTCGAAAGGAAGCTGATCGGAATTGTTTCGTGGTCGCATTGACGGGAAACTAGTTTTAATGAATCACATATTGGTGTTATTGACGTGAAGATACCTTGAATTTTTGGCCATTGTTTTGCCCATTGTTCATGCCATGCTTTGTTGGAACAAAAGATGTAAATAGTATCTAACTGTGGCATGCGATGAATATCTGGCACGAGACGTTGTCCTAATGCGCCCGAGGAAATGACAAAAGCTTTTTCATCATCCAAATCATCGAGAATTTCAATGCATTGTGCTGAAGTCGTGCAGACATTAACCTCTTTGACGATACTGCGCAATTCTGCCATTGTATTTTGACAATCTTGACTTGCTTGATCAATATTACCATCAACCCAGATGACCAAATAATTTTGAACCCTGTATGGTGTTGGTTTGATGGTACTCGATGATGATGTTAAATTTGAAACATTATTCATTGTTGATGTAGATACTTTTTGTTTAGATTTTCTCACACCCATAGCGAGTACGAAATATCCCGTTTTCGTTAATCTAGAATGATGAATAATTATTTATCGTCAAGATGGAAATCATTTTTCTATATATACAGTCGATGCTTTCTGTTTTCACTAGGTTTTTCTGCGAAGTCAAAGATAGATTTTTTTTATTCATTGGTATTCAATGATAAACTCCATCTAAGTAGTTTAGATTAAACATATGCCTGCGAAGAACAAAGAAAGTGCCAAAAATCTTACAACATCATTTACTGTATTATTATGCTCTCAAATTTTTCTTGGTATTCATCTCCATAAAGACTTAAGTATAATTACGTTGGATAGAATGTGGATGTCAGTGTAAGCGTACGTGAAGAGAAAATACACAGGAACAGACGCAGCCACATGTACACTCTTCTATTGCAAAAGAAAATTTGAAATTTATGTCCGAAACTGCTTAGAATGCTGGCTCGTTTGAGCATCTTGAATGTTCTAGCTGGATTTCTGTCTACAGTTTTGTTCAGAAAAACTTTTCATACACATCTAGCGTAGAATTATATAGTAAATCATTGGAAAAGCCTCGCTTAAAAGGAAGAAAACTGAAGAAATTATAGTGAAAATACCAAGGAAAAAAAAGCAAGACTTCAATATTTCATTGTACATCACTATACTTCATTGCACTTAATTCTACTTCATGTACAAGAGTCTTGTTTTTTTCACTTTGAAAATTACTAAGATCGCCATTCTTTCTACCGCATCTTTCACATGGCAATTATTGAAGATGGTTGCATTGCACAGATTGGTTTGAAAATTATACAAAACTCAGAAGTAAAATGAAACTCACAATCTTTTCTCCCGAAATACTATAGCCAGAAAGATGTTCGAATAGCAGATAATCCTAAAATTTTCTCCTATAAAGAAATACAAATCGTCTGATGACACTTATATCACTGCTTCGTTTGATTTACAATACAGCAATAAAATTTCTACTAAAATCTCTTGAGTTTGGTGCTATGTTAGCTCCCAAAGAGTGAGAATCGTGTCTTCCAGCACCATAATTCTACGTGAAAAATAAGCTTTATAACAGTCACTCTATTTGAAATTGTTTTTTACTGGAAACATGTTACGTGTAAGAAATATTTCAATCAATACCATCAGTTGTAGATGCTAATTCTCCTTCATATAAGACTTCTTAAAATTACTTCCTCGCAATTAAAATATCTCATCTCCATGTCCCATGATGTTTTGTTATTTATTACTACTCTTAACTTTCAGTTTCTACTGTATCATCAATTTAATATTGTTGGAAATCAAATATACTTACATACCAAGTAGTACTAGAGCGTGCAAGTTTTGTTATGTGTCCTCTCAACAGATGCTGCTTCGTACTTATCGTTGACAAAATTACGTTATTTTTTTTCTTACTTACCTATGTTTACGTGAGTCAATGGAGTATGAAATTTCCTCCGACTAGGCAGTTTTTTCATCAGTGTGCTCGTCATCACTTGTGTTTCATTCTTTCAATGTTCGTTCTCTGTTTTTGCTTTCCTTTGCATTTCATGTTTTTATGATGAGATAATGTACACTAATATTCACATACACGAGCATATTTCACTCTTATTTCGCAATTTCTTTCCATGTGTAATTAAAAGAAATAATAATCTTTGGATTGTGTACATGACCCATGATAGCAGTACATTGATTAACGTCGGGTTTCTTCAACACTATGACTCGTTCTATCGATCACATAAGAACTTTTCCGCTTAGAAGAGTCGATCAATTGAATTTCATATTGTGATTCAACGACAGATGATCATCACTGGTGACAGTTCTTGGACAGACATGAAAATCATATGCAAGGTCATAATGAGTGTCATAATCAGGTGTGAAATAAATGATGCGCTTTGTGATTTGTTAAAATGCTGTGTGTCGTTCTTCAGTCATTAATTGGAAGATGAATTTCAATCGCCACGTATTCAGATAGTGTTTTTGAAAAAGCAAAAAGATGCTAAGTGCTTTGAATCAATTCTATTAACTGTTCTATGTTAAACCAATGATGTTTCATCGCTTGACAAATTAGATGCTACTGCTCGGATGTCAGTGTCTTTTCCTGAACCCCAACACTATTCACATGCACATTAGCACACCTTCATCATAGAATCAAACAGTTAATGTCTGTTACAGTTCACTTCCTTTTTTTCCTCACTTCTTTACATGACTTCTCACTGATAATGTTGACCTTTGCCATGTCTGTTTCTCTTACTTTTCTTTTGTGTCAGTGTCATATAGAGTTGTCCTTGTAGTGATCTAGAAACAAATGGATAAGAATACTCACGATTCAAAAATTGACCATTCAAAGACATTAGAGGTAATTCAAGGTACTCAAATAAGGATAAGAAATTCAACAAAATGAGAAAATGAGAATAAAGAGAACAATCTTTCGATCATATTATGCTAGACGTCGAGCAGGGTGAACACTTTGTGACAACAAATTGTGCTATATAACTGGAAGCACAACAAAGGTATGTGAGCAATAAAGAAAAACTTGTAAGATGAACAAACAATAAAATAAAGATATATTATCCACTTTTATTCAATAGAACGACAATTAATGATTCTATTAAATTATGTCTCATCTGTAAATGTAGTAATAAATAGAAGTGACTAGCACAAATCTACAATTAGTTTATTCAGTATCACTTTCCTATATACATAAATGTTTCTAATGTTAGAAGAGAATAGATAAAGTGGACAGTACGAATATATCATCATTCTCAGTTCAGCTAGAGTAACTATTTCTTATATCTGTTGTTTTTTATTGTATCGTTAGACTGTATGGTTCAAATCATCTCAAGCAATGTATAAACAAAACAGTCCATGTTTTCTTTTCTATATTTATGAATAAAGAAAACATCATCATTCAAGTATAACCATGATGTCTTTCCAAATACAGAAGTTTGTTGCGCGAGAAAAAAATTGTCGCCGACTTGGACATTAATTCATGACTGCACAACCATATTGAATTTTTTCTGAAAGTGAAAATATCAAGAACAAGAGAGATTAACAAAAAAGTACATTGACAACGGAGAAAAAAACATCTCTCTAATATGCTTATGTTATCGTTGCCTGTTTTTGTCTCTCGCATTTATAGATATATATGCAGTGATATATCAATGTGAAGTTAGAATGTGTAAATAACTAAATACCAAAAAAAAGGCAGGTTACATCTATCTTTCTTTTTTCTGCATTGTAAACCCATCAATATCTGTTTCTCGCTATCTGTCTCTTTATTTTGTAACGAATTGGTGAGTATCAATAAGTCAAAATGCATGAAAACTAATCCAATTCTGTTCATTTGATCTCAGAAATATTTTCTTTTCATGCTTCAAAAATCAGTGATCTAGGCTGTCCGCTTCTTTTATCTGAAAAAGAGTAATTTGAAATTTCTCATAATATTCAAATAAGTGAACATATCGATATTAAGGTATGAGATAGTGATATGATTCAACAAAGTTTTCGGAAGTTTTCTTAGCTTTAAAAATGCCTATGTTGAACATATTGCTAAGAAATGGAAGAAAGATATTTTCGAAACGGAAACTTGAGATAGAGAAGTGTTAAAACTTTAATACTTAGCTTTTAGTTGGTAAATAGATTGATGATGACACAGCTGATTTGTTTACATCTCTAGATAAACATGATCAATAGGCCTTTTATTTCCTTCGGCTTATGGTTGTACTTTGAAATGCCGATAGAACCAGACCTGAAACACAGTTCATAGGCGATCCGCATCAACTAATTGGTTAAGACGAACTCAAAAAGCGGTCGACGACTATTCATAAACCAACAAAGAAAAGTCATAAATGATCAGTAATTCATCTATTTTGTTAAATTTCCGAAGAAAATAAGGTGTCGACATAGTATTATTAACGCTTGCTTTCATTGGAACCAAGAATAATAGACAAATGGAATGTCGGTGTATGAAATGTATTATTAGTTTTAAACAAAGAATTCTAAGTACAAGATAGTATGAAATACCATTCAGACATTGATAGAACGTCGTCTACTAATATATTTGAAACTGTCACAAAACTTTATTCTTGAAGAACAGATGGTCACTCTTCTACCAACAGTATCTTCATATACTCTTGGAGTTTATAAAGCATCGGAAATTCTTCTGAAAAATACCATTGAGTGGTTTGAATAACTGATGATGGCATGTCATCACTGCATATTTCTAAACAGATACGAAAGGTTGTTAATAAACGTACAGTTAAACAAGGACAACATTTTTACAAGACAAAAGATGCGATTATTTTATTTACAAGAACTAAAGAAGTGCAAAGAATTTAGCTAAGTCACTTGGTATTTCCACAGTAGTTTCAAACTTGCAACTTGAATTCAATAGAACAACTATTCCAGGCCTCGCAGCGTGTGTACTTTCCTGATTTTTTCCTGATTTTTTAAAGGTGTCCTGATTTTCCTGCTTTTGACTGAAAAACCTGCTTTTGTCCTGATTTTTCAAGATTTATCTCTGTAGGACCACATATACGTCATTTTGATGTTTTATTTTGTTATACTCAACGTTTCTTAAAAATTTTATGAAAATATTTGTTGAATACTTTCTATAAAAAGAAAGATGGTACTCAAATTTTTATTCTATCCATTTTTTTCTTGTATAATCACTTTAAGAATCGATTATTTCGAATTAATTGGTTTTTGAAAGCAGCTATTTTATCATTAGTAATTATCACCAGTACTTCGGCGGTATTTATATCATACAGTTCACGACCGTGGGTAGTTGCATTAAATCTTGTATTCCCTTATTTTAACATTTTAGTCGATTTACTAAAGTATTCTTGTAAACGCTTTTATTCGTTTATCTATAACATGGTGGTTTTATATGTGCGAAGAGCAGGGATATGAAGAAGAGGAAAAATAGCAGAATGGGGACGGAAGCGTGATGCAGGGAAATGGTTTGAGTGCCGAAAAGATGGTTATAGAACGTTAAACACTGCGAAAATGCGGATTTTTCTTATTTCTTTTTACACCTATTTTCCTGATAAAAATGCGATTTCTACTAGAAACAAATAAGACTCCAATAGTGAAGGATGCCCCCTTCCGTAGGCCACGTATCTGAGAAAAAGAAAACGTAAACACAATGCATAATTAGAGATAGCGAACGAAAAGGAAAAAAGCAGAACTCTAAGTACGTATTCGGCGAAATATAATATAGTAATTCCAATGAACTATCATTGATCGACATACTTTTGTGCAGCTTTCATCCTGAACAATAGCACTATGATAAGACTTAAAATGTCCTGATTTTAATCGAAATTCCTGATTTTTTTCTAAAATGTGTCCTGCCTATTTTCCTGATTTTCAGACATAGGCCGCTGCGACCTCTGCTATTCTTCCAGTATCAGGTTTCAACGTCTATAGTTCTTGAAGTTTCAAGTCTGACCTATATGAGTCTCTGACTCACTGAATATAATAATTATATACAAAAAACGATCATCAAGCATCATTGAGAGAAAAAAAAGCCAAAAGAATATTTTGTACAAGCACACAAGATTATGATAATTTTTTTCTTGATATCATCAACGTTATGCAATAATTTTACACAACAAAAAATAATCATATTTGATCATGACTAAGAAGAAAGCAGACAAAAATATTTGTTAACCTAGTATGTGAATATGGTACAATAATTTATTTTCTTTTTAATAAATATCTCTAGGATAGTTGAACTAACAAATTGAAGTATCTTTAGAGATGATTTAGATTTAAATAATGGTGTTATCGCAAGAAATATTTTTGTTTCGTTTAAAATTTCAGCTTATCGAATCAGAAAATTCTGTTAACAATATTAGCACTAATTCTTTTTTAGGACGGACAGAGTCTGCTCCAGATATACCTAGCGCTCCGACTACCATCCATTTACAATATTATTTATTTCACTACTCATGCAGAAACTAGAGTATTAACGATTATTTCATACTCATAATCTATGAAATTTTCATTTAGAACATGCAATACAAATTAAATATTTTTTTTCTCAATATTTTTATATTGTATGATTGAATTAAATACATTATCTTATGTAATTATTAGTAATGAGATCTGACAAACATTTCCATACAATCATGTTCTCATTAAATTGATGATTGATTCATAAAATCACCTATAATGAAATGAAAGCTTAAGAGATTTCTCATACACTTGCTGAAAGTATTGGTAAACGTTCAATTTGATCCAAATACACGTTGTCATAATAATTTAGCATGTTTTTTTTTCCTTTTATTTATCGAAATTCATTTTACGCAAAGAAAATACTCCAATAGAGAATCCTGAATAATATAAATTATTTATCAAGGTTATTCATTTCACTCGTCATGAAGTTGCACATCAATTGAAAGAATTCTTTTTTATTAACTCATATTTTTATTTAAGTACCGTTGAGATGAACTAAAAGTGTTCATTATAGTCCACATTGAACATCTATTGAATATAAAAAACAAAATCATCAATGATAATATAACGAATAAATAAGATTAACAAGGAAAAATGAAATATTCAATAGCTACGACTAAAATAAGATTAGAAAAGTTTTAATGGACAGTCACGTCTACTAGCGCCATCATCCTTTGTCAATCTAATGAATGAACAAATAATTAACCAACAGAAAACATTTAAAAAACTAGAAAAACTTTCTGTTGAATTTCATTTTTCTTGGCTAACATAAAGAATATACTTCATAAAATTCAACATTCAAAATGTTCTTTCATGTGAATAAAAAAAATATTAATGAAATATAATAAGAAATTTGATGTATTCTAGGTCAGTTTGGATCATGAAATTTTACTTCATCCACGTTATTTTGGTCCACAACTTATTAAAACAGTTCGACGTATGTTATTCAATGAAGTCGAAGGAAAATGTATTGGCAGGTAAGTTATTATAATCGTTGATTGTTTTTTGAAAAACAAAAAATAGTCTTTGTTCTTTTTCAATAGATACGGTTATGTAATTGCAGTTACATCAATAGATAATATTGGTGTGGGTAAAATTCAACCTGGTAACAATAATATATTAATTAATTGATAATATAAAAATATAGTTCATTATTAGGACGTGGCTATGTTATATTTCCTGTTAAATATCATGCTATTGTATTTCGACCATTTAAACATGAAGTTGTCGAAGCTATTATTACTCAAGTCACAAAAGTAAAATTTCAAAAGAATAATACTATGAGAATGTTTTGTTTTTATTTTTTTTAAGATGGGCATTTTTTGTAAAATTGGTCCATTAACTTGTTTCATTTCACGTCATGTAAGTTTAGAGTCAGTTTTGTCTTATTTTTGTAATAATAATAATATATTTATTTCAGAGTATTCCACGTGATATGGAATATGATGCAAGTGCAAATCCACCATGTTATAAAAAGAAAGATGATGTAAGAAAGTTGTTTTCTTTTTCTGTTTTGCATTTATTTTGCTATATACTTAAATTTTTCTAGGATCTTATGATTCAACCAGATGATAGTATTCGAGTGAAAATTGCTGGTCTTCAAGTTGATGCTAAAGAATTTGTATGTATTATGCAAAAGAAATTATCTAATAATGAATAATAATTTATGTCTACTTATATTGTAGCAGTAAAATAGAAAAATATGTTGAGTGTAAACAATATTTCATTTTCATTTTAACTTTAGATTCTCAATATATAACTAAATATTTTAACTAGTAACTTTGTTATGTTATTTTTCTTTTTTAATTCGAAATCAAATTCATTGAAGTCAATCAATACTTTACTTTAGAATTCTTCGAAGTCAAAACGTTTGAACTCTGACTTTCAGAAATTTCGAAAATGCGATTGATATAAGAATTTTTGTAGTTTCATTTCATATTCATTGAAGTTTTATTTTACATATATTTGTCTCTGACAAGTATATAAAATGATCACTTATAAATGCAATACATAAGTCTATCATTTTCGAAAATATCTGTATAAAATTTTGTTTTAAAATTTTTGACAAATGTTCTATAAAAAATGTTGAGTCGGCTTAGTTTAGCTGGCTTTGATACTCATTGCAATGAATTATCTCTTGTATTGCACTTGCTTGAAGAAATATTCTCCAGCAATTGACAAGCTTTGCGGCTAAAATGTGGAAAAACTCTGTCTTTGTGAAATAATGTGGAATTCATCCGACACAATTTTCTCACTTCTAGACTAGAAAAGTCTTAAACTATATTGTATAATAATTTTAGTAGTTCAATGCGTTTATAACATCTATTAAAGATCATATTAAGTTGAGTATGAAAATTCACAAAAAACCTAAAAAAATTTTAAAAATAATAGATCTGTGAATTACATTTATAAGTGACCATTTTGTACACCTATTAGAGACAAATTTATGTGAAATAAAATTTCAATGAATATCAAAATGAAACTATAAAAACATCTCACATAAATCTCTTAGACGATAAACAAAAAAAATATTCATGTTTGTTTTTCGACTGGACTTCTGGAGATAGTCTATATAATTCTTGTAGTGCTAATTCTTAATGAGAACGGTTAGTCTGTTCGAGTCCGATGAAAGGCTTTACTTTACCTACTGGATTCAGTAATAAACATCAAATAGGAATATGTGCAACGTTTCATTTATTATTTTCTATGTAAGATTAATTTAACTTTTTGAATTCTACTTTTAGAGTTTACTATCATTTATTAAGAGAAAGAAAATTCAACAATATGACACATAATTCAGCTAGAATATTGAATAATACAAAATGATTTTGAGACATCACAGTACCGTATTAATCATAGTTGTTACAATGAAATATTTAGTTTACTTAATAAATAATTCTAGATACTATAGTTTGAAAAAAATTAACCTTATTTGATTTAAACAATAATAAGTAGTATAATTCAAAGAAATGATCTTCAAATAACTTTATATTCCATTTTTTTTTCTATCAATCTTTTGATATGAGTAGAATTTGTTTAACATGTAGATGACATATGAGAACTGGTCATATGTGTTACTCTCGATAATTAGATAGAAAATGCTACAACAGTAATTAAAAAAAACATATAATTTTATTTTCTTTTTTAGTTCGCCGTTGGCACACTAATGGATGATTATCTAGGTAACTAGTTCATCTTTAATTATTTTATATACATATTAATTCATTCTCTTCTGTTGTTTTTTTAGTATCTTAAACTTCGTGTCATTATATTATGCGTGTAAAATTTTCATTTTTCTTTGTGTTTGTTGTCTTATATTCTTCAATCAAGAAAAAAAGAAAGAATAAAAACAAAAATGAGCTTTTCTTCTACTATCAATTAGGTCATACTTATCTCGAAATATGATCTATCTATATATCTATCGAACTTGACAGAAAAGAAAAGAGTCTTATTTGTTTGTTTACTCTTTAATTACTTTGACTTTTTTTCTTGCCATCAATGTTATATATGCACAGCAGTGCTAATCGACTCGACTAATGATTAGTGTCTGCTATTATGTTTGATACATGTTTCTTTTCGTTTTTTACTTCTGTTCTGGCATTCATCACTTGGCACGAGTTGGCTCAACATTTCATTGTCTGTTCGCATTAGATCATATCTTCATCAGCATATATTCTGCTAATCGACATATCTGACACAAAAAAATAACGCTTCCGGACCGCATTTTTTTTAAAGGGAACTCGTAAGAGAGATGTATATCAAATATATATATACACATATATACGCAGAATAAAAAACGGAAAGAAAACACAAGAAAAAGGAAATATTATTCTTGAGATGTTTACAAATACAACTATCCAATAGAAATCTAATGCAATTGATCTTGACATTTTATTCAAAAAAAAAGAAAAAAGATAGATTGTTTTTATCTGATGATCATATAAACTTTTGGTGTTTCTTTTATTTTTTGTTATTTGTAACTGTCAACATTCTTTGATTCAGAATTGAAAGATTACTTTTTATTAAATCTGAACATCTTTTTCTTTTCACTCACATATTTTATTTGCAAAAGAAAAAAAAAAGTAAAGATTTTTTTTGTTTAATACAGCTCATATTATTACTAGAAAAATTATAAATTATGTTGTGAAATAAACAGAAAAAGAAGACATCATCATTGCTTTTCTCGAACATACTGACACCGTAAACAGATTTATCTGTTGGGCGTAGATTATTTGACAAATTATTTGTTGGCCAATCAATAGAGATACTTGTCGACTTGTGCATCTTTTTATGTTTATTTTCCCTTGTATTCGTGTACTTAACCATCATCAACATTGTATGTATGTATATGTGTGTGTTAACAAGCTCATATACAAGGAATTAGCTGTTGCTTCGTGTACACTACTCATTCTCCCGCTGTTGCTCCATATACTTCATCATCATCATTTGCTAAAGAACATACACGCCCATTTCCTTATTGTATGTTTATTTATTAGCAGAAAAGATTAGCAGATAGTTTTTCTTCTATCTCTTTCTTATTTGTTAGAGAATATGTTGATATTCTAATTTATATAAAAATTTTTTTGTATGCTAATGTAAGACGTATGCGGTAGATTTCGTTTGTTATATAGAGCTTCATTCATTGATTTGAAATGCATGTCAAAGTCACCGATAGTGATTTAATTGAGAGTATGTCTGTGTTTTCTTTTTAATTTACTTATATTCACAGCATTTCGAAGTGTTGTCGTTACGTGAAAGCCACTCGATCATACATATATACATACATATGTATATATGTATACCTTTTTTCTTCTTTTTTGTTGTTGATAAGATGTATACAAGAATAAAAATAACACAAGCACACATCTCAAACCACTTGATAGATTATTTAGTTTTTGCTCTTTCTCTACATCGTTTGCATTTGAATTGGATTTCAATTTTGCTCTTTTCTTTTCTACTGTTCGTTTATTTGTCTTCATCGAACATATATATATACATATATATATATATGTATATACTAAAATTGATGATTATCGTTTCTATTTGTTCATGAAAACCAATCATCAAAAGATTACATCTTATGCAATTGTTCAGTACTACTACTAAGTAAAAAAAAGACGAAGAATTAATCAAAGATACATATGTTGACAATTGATACTCATTTAATTACACTTGGAATAAGTTTTTCTTTGAAAGAAGAAAGAAAAAGAAAATCTCAAGTGTTACAAAAGTCAAATTGCTTGTATGATTATGTCCTTGAGTATAGAGCGGATCTAACGTTTTCTATATACTCAGCAGGAGATTGACTCATTGTCACATATAACCGACATGTTGTTCATTAGTTATTGTTATGTTGCCGACTATTCTTGCCGTGGGTCACCAATGATTACGTTTAACATGTTTGATCTCATTTATTGCTTATGGCAATCTATCAATCGTATTAAAGGTTTTTCTTCTCGTTTTACAATCAAGACAACGAAATCTTGATAGGTGCATGTGTATTCATCTAAATCCGAACGAACTGTTTCAATAAAACAAAACAACATATGCTACTATTTGAACAATTGTAATCAGATATGATCGACAACTAAAATGAGATTTGTTGATCCTTAAACAGTAAAATTGATTCAAAGTAAATTTCAATCAATATATATATTGAAATTGAATCTACTAAACTCAATATTAAAATAAAAAGAAAAAAAAGGAAGGACTGAACAAGCTGGCGACAATCAAACAACAATTTGTAATAATAATGATGCACCAAACGGATAATAGTGTATGTTGGTAGTCGTTTTTTTTATATTGTATTCATAGGAAAACATAAATGACGACAAATTGAGAAAAAACTAATGCCAAATATATGTTTATATGATGTATGCGACAGCTGGAATTGATGATGAAAGAGAGAAGTTTATATGTCCTTTCAATTTTTTTTCAATTATTCTTTCGTCATAGTAAAAACAATACTAACAACAAAAATTATCTCTTTATATGTAGCAGCTTGATAAATTTATTTTTTCTTTCAAAAGAAAAAAAAAAGAAGAAAAAGAAAAAAAAGAATATGTTTTTTTGTTGACAAATTCAAAAGAAAATAAGGGTAAAAACGAAGAATTAAAAAACAAACAAACAAACAAACAAACAAATAAGCGAAAAAAAAATGAAATGTCATCTTTTCTCGCCATACATATATTTATATGATACTGGAAACGAAAAAGAAATCTCATGTAATGTTATGACACTCACCTCGTTTTATTTGGTGATATTGAACTAGCAGATAATAAATGTTCAGCTAAAATTGAACGATTTGTTGGTATTTGATGATGTCTTAAAGCTTCAGCAGCTGCTAAAACATAATTTGTTGGATGATGAGTATGAGAACTCAAAGCATTTAAAAATTGTTGTTGTTGTTGTTGACATGCTACTGCTGCTGCTGGTGATGATGATGCTGACCACATAGCAGCGGCAGCTGCTGATGCATAAGCAGCTGCTGAATATGGCCATGGATTTGCATGTGGATGTTGTGAAAGAAATGATGTTGGTACAAATGGATTTGGATGTGCTAAACCAGCACGTTTAAATGCTGCTAAACGATGATTTCGTGATGTTGATGTTCGACGTCGAAGTTTACCAGTTGTGGCACCAATAAAAACATCATCAGCTGATGGATCAAGCATCCAATAATTTCCTTTACCTTTAAAGAAAAAAAGAATTTTAGTTTTTTTCCTCTCTACAAAGATCAAAAAAGCTTTTTTTTTTTTAATATTTACCGGGATCATCATAATGTCTTGGTACTTTAACAAAACATTTATTTAATGATAAATTATGTCTAATTGAATTTTGCCAACCTTGTTTATTTTCACGATAATATGGAAAAGATTTCATTATATATTCATATATACCATTTAATGTTAAACGTTCATGTGCTGATGAACGTATAGCCATCATAATTAATGCATTATAAGAATAAGCTGGTTTAACACCATATTTATTTCTAGGTGCTGGTGTTGTTGGTGTTGTGGTTGTTGATGATGATGACGATGATGAAATTTGTTTTTCTTCTTTAACATTATTGGTTTGACTATGAGTACCATCCGAACCAGACGTATGACCTAATGATGATTCGCTTGATATAGATGGTGAAGATTTTTTCGTAGAAGATTTTATATGTGAATTTGATTCTTCTGTTTCAATATCATCATCTTCATCATATTCAGAATTATATATAGGTGGAGATGTACTACCAATATCAACGTCATCATGATGATGATGATCTTCGGAATTATCATGAATTAAAGTTGAACGTTTTTTAGGAGATATATCATGTTCATTTTCATCATTACTGTCATCACGTATTCGTTTTAATGGATTTGTTGGTTGCATAGATGTATAAAATGAAACTGTTTTAGATAATTTTTCAATATTTGTTTTCTAAGAAATGTATAAAAAGAAAAAAAAGATTGAATGTATTCTTTCTTTTTTATTTTAAATTTTACCGTATCATCTTCACCCAGAACACTTCGAATTGAAAATGAACTATGAAAAACATGTTGCTGTTGCTGTTGTTGTTGTTGTTCGTTACCGTTTGTCATCGCGTAATTTGTTTTATTCTGAAATGCGTAATGCGAACCGTAATAATGTATTATTTCTTCTCTCTTCTCTATGACGATGTGTCAGAAGTAACAGCCTGTTTGATCAACAAAAGACGATGCGCATCTCTTCTCTTCGAACGTTTTTTTTTTCTTCTATTTGCATACAGAAGGAGGTGTTCGTGTTCATTATTTTTCCTTCTTTTTTGGACCAATGTTGATGCAGCTTGCTATTAACATGGTTGGCCGGAACGAGAGAAGAAAATTGATTCTTTTTTCTTTCGTTTTTTTTTCTTTCTTTCCTTCTTCTAACAGCCAATGTTTGTAAAACAGAACTTCTCTATTTTCACCAATAGAAAGAAAAAAAAATTTGACCTTTTTTTCTAAATATATTTCATTAATATTTATTCATCTTCAAAAGATGTTTACGTTTCTATTGTCATCCTAATTGGCATCAATCTCTTTAAAAAAAAAAAGAAGAAGAAAATCTCCAAAGAACGACAACTGTCATTGATTTAAACCAGATTCAATATATATATATGCAATTGAGTCGTTTATGTTTATAGTCTTTGTATAACTATATTGATTGATCATTGTCGTTGTAGAAATGACGAGTCTATTTTAAGTAGAAGAGAAAAGATAATCTAACGAGTATGATCTATGCAAATTTCTTTATAAGTGTTTATATGCCAGATATACTGCTGTTACAAACTGATAATCATCCATTTTCGCGAAGATGATGATGATGATGATTATTATGATGATGTTGTTTTTGCTTATATGATGTAGTGCAGTTATCAAGAGAGTCGATCGAGTTTGCTTCCGTTACTCGCAAACAAACAAATAGACATTCATAGGGGAAAAAGAAAAAGTTCCGACACCAGAAACGGAAGACAGATACACACATACATACACACATCGTCGGTATAAAAGTATCAAAAAAAAAACGAACAATTATGGGATAAAAAAAAAGTGCGCATGTTCCGGAAATGAAATGGAGTAGGAAAAGTCTATATCATTATTTCACTCGTCACCTCTAATTAGTCGATTTACAATGAGCACCTGCACTCTCGAATATTATACCTAATTTTACTACTCACTTAATATGAAAATCATAATGAAAATGAGTCAAGGGAGAGGAAAAAAACAACAAGTCGCTGGAAAAAATAACATCTATATATATATATATGGGTCCGTACCCTCCATCACGGTGATGTTTACGCAGTTTGGAATGTTGTATGTGTGTGCATATGTTGAGTCGAAAAAAAAAAGTAAGAGTAAAAGACGACGTCAATCATTCTGACAGTTTATTGTTGTAAGACAGCGCATGATGAAGAGAAAGCTTAGATGCCTTGAAAAAAAAAAGAAGAAACGATTCGATTCTCTCTTTTGTGTCTACGTGCAGACTTGCACGATTACCCTGATGACAACAAGGGAGTAACGTAGCAGAATAGATAAAGAAAGTTTTTTTCATTTTTTTTTTGACTCATGACTTTCGAAAAAAAATGTATTACGTCATTTTTAATAAACAAAATGTACACATCGAGAAACTTGAAAACGAAAAAATAAAACTAACAAATTCATCATTTTTCAATATGTTGTTATTATTATTATTAAATCGTGCTGCGTAAATCGTCAAGGATGAGATATATACATTGTTGAGTATGTCAACGACACGACATGCTACATTAATTTTCGATAGAAATCTACTGCCAGTCGTTCTATGTTGTGATTAGCTTAAGGGTGTCGACAAGCACACATCTATCGAAGAGATAATGATGAGCATTTTCTCTACTTCTTTTGCTTGAATGATTAGAAAAGCAACACATACACACATATCGTAGCAGCAGCCATACAGGAAAATTTGTTCATTCGACCATTGTATGTCTGTTTGTCTCAATATAATTTGCTCAATTTTGCTTTTCTTTTTTTCTTTTTCAATGGACAATGGTATACGTGAGCGCGTGTCCATTTTCGTCGACACGTTCACACATCACAAAAGCGATTAGTGAAATAACTAGTATACCTTTTGATCTAACCTCGATTTGACATGATCATAATGGATGGTGTATGTTGGATACTTCACAATACAAAAAAAAAGAGAAAAAACATAAGAGATATTCATTTTCGCTTCATCAAATTTCAATGGTTAACTGACATTTTCACCTGACAAATTGTTCAAATATATGAGATTAAGAGTAAGCACAAGGACATAATAATCATAATTGAATAGTTGTTGAAATTAGAACAAATCAATATAGGATGACAAGCTTAAATCATCTCTCTTTTTTTTTACACCGCCTTTACTTTGTTCTTAGTTTAAAATCTAACAACAATGAAATATAATTATTTGCTTCTAAAACAAATCAATCTTTTTGCACAGATGTTATTCTTTTACTATATAAACGATGTTTCAATCAAAAGTTTCTTTTTTTTTTTTTATAAATGATTGTGTCGGCACCAGATTTTATCAATGATGAATGTTATATAAAGAAACAGAAGAAAAAAAAATAATTGTTCATGATGGACATATCTAGATATAAAATGATTAGGTTCGAACAACTTAATAAATTAAATATAATAGCCAATTTTATAGCTATTAAAATTCTTTAAATATTATTTTATGTCTTGTTGATATAAGTAAAATGTCAGTTTATTTTTAAATTTTATCAGCAGACAAGAAAGTAAATAAACGAAAATTTTTAATGTTGTTCTTTTATTCTTGTTCTACTTAATGCAATTATTTATTATAAAAACAGAATTCTTTGATAAGAATACATGTATGAAGCATAAAAAAATAAATTACTCATGTAAAACAAAATCAGATCAAGATTATAGTATAGAAAATTAGAAAAAAATATATAGTTCATTTAAAGTCTTTTTTTCATGAAAAAGGATATGTAGTTTGCATTATAATCATTACAAGATTTTTTTCTAATTATTTATCTCTGTAATAGATCAACTATTCAGGATTCTAATTTCACTTTTTTGAATGAATAATCAGTAATGGTATAACAACGAAGGATAATATCTTTCATAGAACAATAATATTAAGCTAAAATTTCTTTTAGATATCCTGTCTAATACGTAGAGATCATGAAACTTATGCAATTTAATGAAATTTAAGAGATGTTTTTTAGTTACTATGAGCTATAATGCTAGATCTCAGAAGATGATGCCGTTTTCCGTTATCTCATAAAACGAACTGATCGATTACGATGGAATTCGGTGAACTTTCATGGATTAATACGCCCTATCATATGCTGATTCCGTCGGTTAGAATTTATTTTACGGAGGCGGTTTTGTAAAAGAAAGAAATAGAAATTTCAAAAGGACTTGTCAACATTTTTGTACGTCGTTTTTAGAGAAAATCTAGCAATACTTCCATGCTTAAAGTTTTATAATATATACTATTTGATGGATTTTGTTTTCTATAGTTCTAAATTCCAATTAGTATTTTAAATTAGAATTGAATTCATATCTTTGGAGTGTCACAATTTACAAGAAATTATCGATTGATAAATATGAGATACGAGGAAGTTTTTGAGAGATCGTTCAAGCTGTTCTGGGAAACCGTGTACACGATTTTCTGGTCGTTGATTACTTTGAAGAGAAGAAATGAACAAATATGAGTAGATATTGCAACAAGCAAGGTATCGTCAGAACAAAAATTTCAATAAGTTTTCCGAATGTAGTATTACACCACATACTACGTATTAGTTATTTGAAAAGTCGACATTTTCGAACGAAAAAAAAAACATGTAAGTTCTCTACACTCAAACATATATATTGCGATTGGTTTACTACAAAAAAGAACAATCTTTAGCATCGATTGCAAGAATACGAGATAACATAAAGAATTACAACTTCAAAACACCAGCAACATAGAATCATAACAGAGGAATATCTAAAGATATTGTGGCAACATTGTGATGAAGTTCATATTGCTATTCCAGTGCTCTGAAAGCTACTATGTTTTTGCTCTAATAACACGTTGATTGTCGGAGTGACTACTCATTTGCTCGTTTATCTCCGACTAAATAATCAATGGAAAGTCAATCTATGGGTAGTAAATCGTATAAACTCTAGCAAATATGTATGTAACGTTCAAATATGGCTATGTAGGTTAGCGTCATCTTTTGCGACACCCATCAGTAGGTTTGCTATGTATAACCCATCGTTCGAGTAAATGAGTAGTAGCAGCAGAAAACAAGCAAGCATTTTGAAAAGAAGTAGAAAATTTTAAAAAAAGCATGGCTATAAATTTCTAAAATATTTCTATGCTTTCTGACACATCTTATTTTTAGAGTTCTGCATTTGTTTAACCTACATTGAAAAATGTTAAAAGGTTTAACATGGCAAACGCTTAGAGCGAATTATTCATTGATACCACTTTTTTCCGTCGTTACACTCGGTGTGGTAATGGCAGCTGGCCATTCATTTCGTAGTTTAGCTTTTTCAACTGATGTTAAAGTGAATCGAGGTAATCAGGATCGACCATGGGAAATACAAGTCAATGATGATGGTACATTTAAACATGCAAAATATGTTAAATTACATGATTATCGTAAATTAAAAAAGAGTGAATATGAACCAGAACTCAACAAGTAAACAACATAGAACAATCTATCCTTAACTAAGCTAATTTTCAACTCTTCTTCCGTTATCATTCTTGGTAGAAAATATTGATTATGAAAAACATCCTAAACTGTAGATCCATTCGCTTGTTTTCTTGTGTCTAAACAGAACTAGTTTACATCCATAGTTTTATTATTTTTTTCTTGTCATCACATTTTCCTCGTTTTTTTTTCTGATAAAAAATAAATGAGGAAAAACCCTAGTAATTTGTTGTTAATTTTTTGATTTTGTTTGTAATTAAATCTTCAATCAACTAGAGAATTAATATTTATATTTCATTGTATTGATAATATAGAATAGTTTATTGAGACATTTTTAAAAATATTAGTTTGATTATTTTTGTTAAGATGATTTAGACGTATGTC